TGTCATCAGTCATGCTGGTCAATTTTACAGCCACATCATAATCAGCCTCTCATTTTATAGAATGTTCACTTTGTCTGATTTTGTTGCAGTCTGCCCCAAATAATTTTTGGGCACCGTAATTTTTAATTCCAGCTTATTGTCTTGTTGCGGCTTCCATTTCTTGTACCTACATATCAATGTTTCAGGGCTGCAGGTAATAGCTGGGTTTGTAAATATTGTAGAAGTATAATTATGAATTGTGGTGTAAAACAACAAAAAGGCTTTTCCTTCATAGAGATCCTTAGACATAACTTCCTCTTTAGAGGCATGAATAGTTTGTCTTTAATAACAAGATTTGGATTTAGGATAAAAGCAACGTCCTTGTGTATTAGTAAGTCTGGATGTTGCGTCTGGCTGTTAATATTAAGTATTTAAATAGTATATTGGTAAACGCAAATAGCCATCTTTTTTGTAATTGGTTAGAAAATTTTATTCTCTATCCATGTCTTCCATGGGAAAGATAAATGTCAAGAATATTTGAAGTTTAAATTTCCCTTACATTTTTTTTAAAATTTGTATTAGTATTAGTATGTGCGTGTGAGGAATTTCAGGTGACGAATTTTGTGTATCAACTTTATAGTAATAGGCTCCATGGTAAATTAGTTTTATGCTAATATTTTATATAATAATGGCCATAATCTTATTATTATATCAAACGTGTTATAATTTATGATGTTAGATGTCAAGTAAAAGTTTATGTTAGTGTCAGTCACTTTTGATATAGTCAATTAAAAAATGCGATTCAAATTAACAGCCACACTAGCCTCTTATTATGTCAGTCACATAATAAATGTTTACCAGCCTAGGTTTTGTTGCGGTCTGCCCCTTATTATAATGATTAAAATCATTAAGGCATAGCAATAGCAACCAGTCAGGAAACTTTTCTACTTGTCCTTGTTTAGTTGTTTGACTCGGGGAGTTTCATAATAATTTCAAGATTTTTCTTTTTCAAAGTGCCTAGCATCTGACATTCTCTTTTAAGTATTCCAGTAAAGCAAAAGGCCGAAAAGATATTTGACCAGTTGGTTTAATAAATGTTTAGCCCGCAAGCATTATTGACGAAATATGGTTTACCTACTTATATAAACATTATTATAAGCAACAGAACAAGGACTCGAGAACTCTTTCCGATTTAGCCACTGAACCTTTGCCGGCTTGCCAAAAACAAAATCAATGTATTAAGCAGTAAGATTAAATGGAATAAAGAACTCTAAAGTCGATTAAAAATAATGTCTCGTTGCTAGGCTTTAAATAATATTAGAGCAAATAAAATACATAATGTTCGTCTCAGCATCGATTTTATAAGACTTTATTGCTTAACTACTGATATCAGCTACAGCTAATTTTAACATGATACAACTGACTCTTGTCAGAGGAACAGAGGTGCAACAAAGAATGTGGCAAAAGGCCAATTAGATGAATATAGTAGGGGGTGGGGGGAGAGAAGAGGAAATAGCTGGGTAGATGATGGATTTAATTTTAGATGTGTTCGTCTCAGCATCGAGTGACATCAAATGTTCACTTTGTCTGTTTTGTGCCCGCCCCCTATATAACCGTATCTAACCCTTTAACGTCAAGGCAAATTGCGTATAGTACATTTTTGGCATTCGTTTTAATGCGACTTTATGATCATCACATGCTCCGCTCGAGAACATTCCTAATCTTGTATACGTGAAAATATCTATCCTCCAATCGTCGATTGAACCTTTTAACATTTAAGGCATTCTCATCATAATCGCATATTTTTATCAGAAAAACAATGAAGTTGACTGTTGCCCCTCGGACTGAGAAGAAAAATAAACACTTTCCGTTGACTGTTGACCTTGTTGAAGATGCAACAGTAAACGACCTTAAGAAAGCAATTCATAAACGAATCAAAAAATTTTATCCTGAACGACAAAGACTGACGTATAACGACCAAGTGCTTGACGATAGGAAGAAACGGTTGTCAGATTACGGAATCAAAAGTGAAGATAAAATTTTGTTTAAAGATTTAGGTAGGGCTGCAATGTGAGATATCGAGTCAATGTTAATCGTCAGTACCTGTGTTGGTTTATCGAAAGAGTTCAATCGGTTTGCAGGTCCCCAGGTTGCATGGAGAACAGTGTTTCTTATTGAATACTTGGGTCCTCTTGTGATTCACCCAATATTCTATTATGGATCGAGATGGATTTATGGGGAGGAAGTCGAACACTCAAAGATGCAAACGTAAATTTTCTTTTTTAACTGTTCGCTTGCTGTGTCTAATTTCCTGATCTAACCCATCATCCACCTCCTCATGCTCTTTTCTTCTAGTGTTACATTTTACCTTGTAATGTTGCATTTCATCAAACGCGAGCTTGAGACAATATTTGTCCATCGATTTTCTAACGATACTATGCCGATCAGGAATATAATCAAGAACTCTGTGCATTATCATATTCTCAGTGGTCTATTTCTAGCTTATGCTGTATACGGGACATGGAGCGCTGCAGGCACTAGCGGTGAACGGGATAATTGGTATATTGGCGCTTGTGTCGCTGTTTGGATTGTAAGTGATGTTCTCTGGACATAATTCTATTGTATGATAATATTAGCAATCTGCGATAGGTTTATTAATGCTGCATTTTCTCTTTTATGCAGTGGGCAGAATTATCCAATTTGATGACACATATTAATCTACGCAATCTTCGTCCTCCTGGCACACGAATTCGGAAGATTCCTTATGGATACGGATTCAATCTAGTCTCTTGCCCTAATTACTTTTTTGAGATTGTGGCATGGGCAGCTATAGCCGTTCTCACACAATCAATTGCTGGTAAATTGAAACATGCATCCATTAATTCCTCTTTCGCTTGAAGATAATTAATGCATCAATGTCTTTTGTTATAGCAATTATCTTCCTCGTATTTGCCATCGGACAAATGCATATATGGGCTGTCAAAAAGCACAAGAAATATCGTTCGGAATTTAAAGATTATCCCAAAAACAGGAAGGCCCTGATTCCATTCGTCGTTTAGTCAAGATATTCACCCTTCAGCTAATATCGTGGTCATATTCGCAACTTTGTTTTTTTCGTTGCATCGCTTACATGCTTGTTAAGAAGAAGAATCTCAATATATTCTGATAATACAAAAGTATATATATTATCTGATCAGCTGTTGTCCACGTATTGTATTGTACATCGGATGAAATGGGGGAGACTATGTCACACGAGAAGTAATAATCGGGGAATGAATTCTTTAATTAAATACATGGGAAAAGTATGATGCTTCATGCTACTTTACAAGTCACAAATTTACAGCAAAGGATCCTACAACTGAAGACGAGAGAATTCATTGATGTATAATTCGACAGATCGATCCTCCAAATAGTTTCTACATGTCCATCTCGAACATGTGATCGTGCTGGTCGTTTTGGTCCTTGTTTTGATCTTTGAATAATAATAATAAAAGCAAGACAAAACGTTAGCATGGAGATCGGGTACAGTTACGAAAGGATCTTGGTTAAGGGCTAATCATTATTGTTAGATCACAGAGGCCAATGATACACAGCGCTGTAAAGTTCCTTACCACTATTATCGGTAGACTTATTCTTATGCTCATTATCCTTTGACTCGCGATGTTGCGTTGGCATCGATCGGTGCTGCACTCCAGGAAACAGCGGTTGCTGAGGAGGCGCAAGATGTCCCTCCAGCTGGTTGACCTTCGTGACACCTGGCACAAAAGCCAAACCACTTGGCGGTGTCCTGGCGAGTGGAGAGTTGGCAAGATTTAGCAGAGTGCTGCGATCATAACTAATGCGAGAACCTAGAGAACGTGAAACCGAGGTTAGTGTAATCCGGCAGTAAAGATGACCGACGAGAAACGAACGAATGAGGATCTTGCTTAGACCCAACTTGCTCATCTAAGCAGTAATTGGCTCATTTATTCTAAGGCCCAAGCCTAACAAAGGAATCACGAACTATTGGTTACCTCCAGGCGTCGTTGAATACATTGAACCCGAAGGCGTAGTATTATAGTGCAAAGGAATAGGCGCACCGTCTTCAGCTCTCTTAGTTGCAGGAATATCCCTCGCTGGAGTAATAATGGTATCCGACATACTGTATGTTTTCTGGTGTGCGTAGACTTGTCCAAATTAGCACTATATACTACTAGAACGATCCTCTACTCTGTTGGCAGTGATCTTATGATCCAAAGGTCTATAAAGAGAGGGATAGAGGAGCATTGATCGACCTGAAAGCATGAAATAAATAATCCCTGTTTGGCATGTTATTTGCGTAACAGCATTTGGAACAAAGAATGACGCCCCATCATATGAGTCATGCCTCGTCAAATTAATCGCAATATTTAAGCCTCTGGGCGAATCTACTGTTTTCACTTATTATTATGGTAATCAGATTGGTTCATACAAACAGTGTACATTTTTGTCTGCCAAAAAAACACATTTACAAGCAAATTTTGCGATTTTGCGCCCCAATGATGTCATAACAAATCTGTTATAATTAGCGTTAACCCCAAAGGTTTTCTATATTCGTAAATGGGTCGGGTGACAAATTGCCAGGTTCAGGATGTTGGGAATCATATTTTTTGCGCGCGTGAACAAAACCAATGAAAATGCATAATAGAAGTGTATGCTTCATTGTTCTTACTTCGCTTGATTGTTCAACAAGTTCTAAGAATTATAAATAATAAGCGAGCCAGTATACAGTCTGCGAACACGCAGGGATCAGCATACCTTACACGCGCAAAGTCGGATGTTCATTACAGAATATGTATTAAAGTTTTGTGAACCCATCAAAAGCTAAAACTAAGGCCTAGCTTTGATCATAGGGAAAAATCACGTATTGATATTGCTAACATAACCCTCATACGAACATTTGTGCTTTGGCAATTTTGATTAGCAATCAAAAATTAATGCCAAGTCGCACAAGCATAAAATTTATGTGTGTAACAGTATTGGATTTATTTTGAAACCATGGCTTTTCATTGGTTGATCACTCTATTCTATTAGTTTCAGCATCAGTTACAATTTAATTTTTATTCCAAAACCGCATTCGTTTGCCATCCATCCATTCTATCTTATCTGGAAGATAATTCAACCCGATTCTATTGTTTATCTGCACACAATATCAAACTAGATGGTGGCAACAAGATTCGATTGAGAAAATGGCAAAGCGCCAGTGTTGTCGAGCTTTTTATATTTCACGTCTAGCACTGATGTTCAAACTAACATGTTGGGGCTAAGATTGTTGCGGCCTAAGAAACGTGCGCGTAAGTTGTCTGATTCATTATTGTATTACGATTGAAGATTTAAATGATGAGAAAAAGCGGGTGACACTATTAAACATGATCACTTATTTAAGTCTCTGAACAACTAAAGAAAAGATTGATATTAGTATCTCTGTGAAATGATATTGACATTCCATTTTTTTTTGCAGGTTAGTAGTGTTTGCTCAAATACATTCGCTGCTCCCGCTCCTGTCGATCGTGGACTCTAGACACAGGATGTCCTTGAACTTTGCCTTCGATATTATGCGCACGATCTATCTGCCAAATGCATTCTTGATAAGGATTCATGTGTCCGTTTCCTTTATATCTGACAGGGTTGAGACCTCATTAATGTCGTGGCAACTTTCTTGTCTCAAACCATAGGAAAATCATTGTGCCAACGCTCTGATCGAGTCTATATTTCACTAGTATCCGGGTTTTCAACCATACTGCTCATTACGTAGCGGGACTCAGCAAAAAGCTCAGGTATTATATCTCGCATGTCAAATGACAGTGTATAAAAAGTTTTAATAAAAGTCCCAACCGTAATTCAACAATACTACTACGATTATAGAAATGGTATGAATGCCATCTACACACCGAATCTGTGATTATTTCCACAAATCTTGTATGTAGATGTCACATAGGCCGTAATATATGCTATAACGTGTTTACACATTAAGGTCGATGTGTTCAACACATTAACATCGACCAAAACAAATTTTATATTGGAAAGAACCTCGGTCTGACTGACTGCCAAGACTATTAAAGTTCTACAGTAATGAATCATCGTCATGATATTGACATACACCGCCTCATTTCGCAGTGTCCACCTGATAACTCAACCATTCCTTGATGACGCTAATACCAATTCGGATCTGCGAACAGCCGTTTCAGTATCATGATGCAATGAGCGCCAACAGATGAACCGAGAAAGTAAGGGTTAAATAAGACCATCATATAGTACGTCTAGTGCCAATTAATGGATACTTTCGAAGTAAGCAACTTCTTTGCTTAATTTTTGAGGGGATTCAACTACGTCCCCTCACGACCCGTTCGTTCTATTACAAAACAAAGCATGGTAAAAGTTCTAGAACTTTCTGTACCATATTAGATATTGTGATCGCGTGATTATATTAATTAGTCAGATGAATGTGAGTACGCTACATCTTGGAAAGACGCCAGAACTGCAAAGATGTTTGGATGTATTGTAGCTGGAAGATTGGTAAGTATGCGGGGAGCAATAGTTTTTCTATAATTGGGAGTAGAACGATAGTTAATTAATTGTTAGTCGGGTGATGATTTGATTGGTTGTATTAAACCAATTACTGACACAAATGAATTGATAGATTCAAACAAATCTACAGCAAGTGGATGTGAATAAATATGTATTTGAACTGCCGGACGCAGCTTCAATTAATCACATTGTAGTATTTCTACTGGGTACGATTCCATTCGATCCAGGTTACGCTGCAACTGTACACTTTCTATGGCCGGAGAAAGAATGGAAACTTCTTGGAATGTAAGAACATTTTTTTGAGAAGAGTATAATACATTCTTTTATCTCTTATTCTTTCGCCAAATTGTAGGCTATCAAATGAAAAACCCAGCGCAATATTTCGTCTTCGTGGTTCCATAATCCCGGCATCGCAATCTACCACATCATTCTCCTCAGGATTTACATATACAGCCACCAGGTTATTACCAAGCAGCACTGGAGGAATGTCGATGGACCTAAATGAAACGACAGCAAATGCGTCAGCATCTGTTACGGCCGTACTTGGCATCTCAATAGAGCCGACCGACGTGGTAGCAGGGCAAATTAAAACACTTCAATCACAGACGTCTACGCCATCGTTCACGCCTTCATTTGACAATCTTACCTTAATAGCCGTTAATGTACTAAAAAATCTATATAATTATACAACATCATTCACAACGTCTAATTTACCATTCGGTGCGCAAATTTTGGGAGATCCAGCAGGAAGTCAGTTTTTTCTGCCAATGAAGGTCTTTCAAGAGTGGTACGAGAACTTTACAAGGAAGGTTAAAGTCGATCCAGGCTTTCTACTGAAGAACGAGTAGACTAGATCATGAATTATAGGTAGGAGAAAGTTTGTAATAGAGAACGCAGGTAATTACGAGGAAGGTTATAGCTGGAATAAGTATATAACGTGTGATGTCAGTTTCAGAAGTATTGTAAAAGACGCCCACATTTTGGTCACTGATATATGGGGCATGCAACAAAACCAGACAAAGTGAACATTTGATTTCATTTGTTACACATATGAATGCTATCTGTTTAAGTTGTTCTGTTTACCGCATTTGCTATACATTTTTTTTTATTCGCAATCATATGTGAGCAATCTACTATCAAGTAATCTTTCCTTATTCAAAGTTATACTTTTCCTTGATATCGGCTGGGGGGATTGTCCACAAGTGTGAGAAGTGGGAACTACAGTGTTATTTAACTCGGCCCCAGAGAGGACTAACAACCAATGTTCGGTCTCTTTTCCTTCATCTGATCCTGTTGGTTACGTGTTTGTACCCCTATATACGTCACTCTCCCGTTGTCTTCCAATTTGACACATCCTGAGATTGTAACGGGGTGCCGACTAATGAATACGGAGATGGCGGGCGCCTCATGTAGAATGGGTACGGCACAAAGCCAATGACGGAGCGTGTCATCTAATTTTTGATCTACTCCATCTATTTGCTTCGTAACCTGCACGAATATATCAAACACCGGCGGCAAATCTTGTGCCGGTTTTATCATTATATCCGAAGGTCCATACATCTACTTGTATTATCCGAGCAGCAGAACAAGCTGAAAGGTCACTTACCTTCATGGTGTCTCTCGAGCGAATCCACCGGACAGTTTGGCAATTCTCATCTAGGTTGCTAGAATCGTTTCGTGTCTCGATTGTATTGAAACGTTCGAACACCATTTGTTCCAAATTGGGAAGCATCATATCCTGCCAAGTGAAATGGTTGAATTTCCATGTACTCAGACAATAAATACATGCAGCTACTAAAATAATGCAATACCAGTCATTCGCAATATTCGTCCATAGATGGACGAAAATCTAAACGACAATTCCTTGCCAACAGCGTATTCAAAAAAGTTCACCGCCCATCTCCTTCATGTTCATTAATCTTCAAATGGTTTTCACCTTTATTCCATCTCTTAATGCCATCGAATACCATGCTTAGTGTGCCATTAGGTCCTTTTCCTATTATTTCGTTCTCATCGAGAACGTAATTAATTGTTCACGTATTGCCTCATCCTGAATACCAAATAAATGTACTTTACGCGGACTAAGATAATAAATTTTACTTACCTGTTGATCGGAATGCGGAACGTGAACATTTTGCGCTCAATCGTAGTTGTAATGATCAGTCGCGTCAACACTACAATAATTAGCTTTACCTCTCGTTATAAAATGCTTGTTTACCAATTTTTTCTGTTGTTCTGCTAATTTCGTATTTTTGTTGCAATAATTTCTCTCTAATTTAGCCTTAATCAGATGTTCTTTGAATTTCTTTAGTACGTCTCTCGCTTCTTCTTCCTTGCGAGCGTTGTACTGTAAGCCGTTCTGAAAATGTTGGCACGCGTCACACAAACCCGTTCCTGGACTCATGATTTGAATGTAGGGCGTTAATTGATGCCCATAACTTGCGAAATGCATCATATTTTAACAATTTCAGTGTGCTATCATTTTCGAGACCTGCAAATAAATCAAGATAGACCGATTTATAACTTGTTTCGGTTGGCAATAGTATAAGCGATTGAGTAACGCGATTGACATTTCTACACGGACTTGGTAGTCATGTGTTTTTCGAGAAAATTCTTCACGACAGTAGCAACGTTTATATCAATGATTATTTTGGTTTTCCATCGTGGTACTCGTTTGATATTACCGTGAATGCGTGGTATTATGCCATTTGTTGCTAGGTAATTTCTAACGTTTTCGAAGTGCGTGCGGCCAATTCCTAACATATTGAGATACGTTTTTTGGCAAAGAGCTGTATTACGATCTCAGTAATAAACGTTTGCTTATAAGTACGGGTTTTCTTTCAGTTGGGCCATTAAAAATATGTCTTGTTCGGTTCTGAAACGCCTCGCGTAATTCGGCAAACTTTTCTCTCGGAATCATTTTTGAACAATCAAAATCGCAATCTATCATTCGTTGGAACTGTTATATTTATTATTCTTCATATACGGGTAATCCTCTTTTATCGTTCATGTTGCATTAATTTTAATAATTGCGTTTATCGAAAATTTAAATCGATTGACTATAGTTCTTACATGTTTCAAATAAATTCATTCTCAGGAAAAATACTATAATTGCTAATGCTAACATCAAACATTACAATTAATACATTCCCCAATTCATACTGCAAGCGATGATGCTAATCAAATCATTCTACTCTCTCCATTAACTCAACTAAACAGGATGAACAGAACACATAAAGTCTGAAAGAAGAACTCAAATATACGCAAGCAATTTTATTTGATACAAATAATTAATAGATTATACACTATTGATTTCCCTTACGTTTCTTCTAATTTTCGTTTCTTTCTTGTGTTGGTTTTAATATTAATGCTCGTTAGTAGATATGATTTTCCGTTCCTCTTGATAAATTTCGTAAGTGATTTTTTCTTATTCCTGGAGAGTTTGGGTATCATTGATTTTAAAAAACATAAGGGGCAATTTTTTCTCCTTGGGCTTTATTTAAAAATACTTCTAATGGTGCTGTAATTCTTGAGTTCCATAGTGGATTTGATGTAATTAATTTTATATTAATATTTTTCTATATAAAGACAATCCTGTATTATAATTAATCAAATTATGTTATTTTATGGTTTATATTCATCACCTTCTGGTATGATAAAGTGAGCATTAAAATTAACAAGTCCATAAGTTTTCAAAATGTCATCAGTCACACTAATTTTACAGCCACATCATAATCAGCCCCTCAATTATTATTATAGAATGTTCACTTTGTCTGGTTTTGTTGCAGCATGCCCCAAATATAAAAAAATAACAAAGTTATTGATTCAATATAAGTTTATAAGATGAATGAGTAACAAATGCTGATGCTGTATTGGAGAATTTAAAGGAGAAGGTGCTAAGTTAGGTAAGAAAGTTGATAAATTAAGAGAAATTAGTTCTAACAAAACTTGAATTAAAGCAGCAAAAAATTAAAAAAAAAAAACACTAAAAACTTATGAGTAAGTGGTTTGATCACTCAATTTAAAACTCTGCATGATAAACCAGGTAAGAAGAGTTATTGAGAACTGTTATTTATGCAGAATATTTTGGGGTGGATAAAAATTGAAAAATAATGCTACTTTTGATCTTGTTGCAGAATTAATCAAGCTAGATGTGACTGAAACTGTAAACTAGCTAAATATAATCACTGAATAGTAATAGGACATGGCACTTGCTTTACAGAAAGGTTAGATAATTGAAGAAAAGATGCTGGTAAATACTATAATGAGGAATTATATAATATTAAGCAGTATAAAAAATTCTTTAAAATCAGTGAATCATGGATTAGATCCAGTGGAAGCAAATGAATTAAGAGCATTAGTAACTAGTCCAACTCTTCTGGAAAATTTTCTGTTGATCATTATCATGGACCTCATACTCACAGGAGCTTTAGGGGTCAAAACAAATGTATTTAGTCCTTTAGTCCAAAAATAAATTGATTATTCTCAAAACATTAATTTCAAAACCAATGCTGAGGAAATTAAAAGGCTGGCTGACAGAGTTAATGCCCCAAGTAAAGTCAATAGTAATAGCTAAATTGATTAAGACACAGAACTAGAAGATGATATTTATGATCTTCCTGATAAAAATAATAAAGATCATGATTGATTAGTTGATTCTTTACTTGAGACCCTGAAATAGTGGTAGAGACTATTGCTTTACAGGCCATTAGAAGCATATAGTAATAGTAAGTTAAAGAACAAAATCCTGAGAGAGATGAAAAAATTTAAAGAAGATTAAAAAGGACTGGTTAGACTAGATCTCTCAGTTTATGAAACTGTGAAAGAATTTACTGAAGAAGGGAATTGTTAAGTACTATGCAGAAAGTTAGGAGGTCAAAATCATGCTAATACTAATACTAAGAAGCACTATTACTATAAAATAGAAAACCTACTGAAGATAATGAACAGAAGTATTCTGAACCTGAAGTAGTCCTTTAGCAGTATTATCAAAACTTATTTTGTTAGGTCTTGGAGAAGCCATTGTTTGAGGCATTATTTGTTGGAAATCAAAGTTGCTGGAACGCAAAAAAGGTGTTCTAATAATGATTTGATTGTTTATTCTGCCAGTCTTCTTTTTTTTCTTGGTTTATTATAGGTTTAAGGTTTGGGTTTAATGCTTGTTTAGTAGTTATGATTTCTTTCTTCTTGGTAAATTTCATAAGTAAATTTTTCTTTATCTAGATAGTAATAGTCCTGGAGTGTTTGGGTATCATTGATTTAAAAATGTATGGAGCAATTTTTTCTCCTTGAGCTTTTTCTAATTGTGCTGTAAATGGGTTCCCATGGTGGATTTAATGTAAATCAGTTTCATATTTATATTGTATATAGTCCTATATTCATCACATTAGACTTATATTTATCACAATCTAGTATTAGTATGATAAATAATATAGTAATAGGGAACATTAAAATTAACAAGTCCATAAGTTTATGAATGCACCATTACTTTTCAAAACGTCATCAGTCACGTTAGTCAATTTTACAGTCACATCATAATCAGCCTCTCATTTATATCACATGATCAAATGTCTGGTTTTGTTGCAGCATGCCCCTATTACGGCACAGTGATAAATCAAAATGTGATTAGCCAAATTAGTTAACTTTCAGCCACATTAGCCTCTCATTTATGTCACGTTCACTTTGTCCGATTTTTGTCGCAGTCTGCCCAAATTTGTATATTAATATCGCAAAAACGAAAATTTGTATCTTGATTTATCGCGTTAGAACGTTCTCTGAACGGTTCATTACCTCAATTGGGTATACTCAAATTTTCTCTGTGCGAAACAAATGTCTCCATAATTATAATTAGCTACTATTAGAGTTATTTATAGTAAACTTGTCATATTTCAACAGGTGTACTAATTGCTCGTCGAATGACAGAGGTGTCTATTACATAATGCAAATGGAGCAATTCAGTCATGATTGTCGCTGTCGCTCTTCAATGCATTCTCGCAGAATCATACAAAGGTGTGTTCGTGTGACTGCAATATCAGTATCAACACTTCTTCTGGATTGTCGCGAGATAATTGAACGGTCAGATTGAGTAACTATGATTGACATTTTATTCGTGGACAATAAATCTTTATTATTCCATGAAATTTACTTGATCAAGGCGTCTCGCGCCCTAATAGCTGAATGCTTTGCGAAAGGGTGATAATATGCAAGTGTGCATGACGCCACAATCATCATGTGATAATTTGAGATTAAAATAATTTATTATCTACAATCAATGGATCATCTGACCAATTGTACTATTACGATTAACAATTTTGAAAAATCCCCCTTGAAAAATTTGTGTGGCGTTATGTCTACTTTGTCTGGTTTAATAAATGTGATGCAATGCGTGTACAGTTGCAGTATTGATTTTGCTCGTGTGATATGCTCCGATATCCGACGGGGGTTAGTTTCATTTTTTTTTCTTTACGATTCGGGTTGATATATACAGATGTCAAAACGGGTGTGATTTGATAGATTCCTTATAATTTTGGGGAAACCAAACAATATTAATATACATTTTCGTACGCAGTCCGTCACGGGTTTACACAAATGTCTTTAAACAGACGTTAAGGTTGACTTGCCAAAACTTAAAACCTGGTATGGCCTATCAAATCCTAAATAAATAATGAGAATAGCAGACAATGACAAACAATCAAGAATGTAATGCAGCATAAAATTAGTGGCGTAAGAAGTGATGTAAATTTTAATAGTTAATAATAACAATAATAACAATAATAATAATAACAACAGCATATTAATATTAATATTAAGAAATATAAAAGCTTTATTATTGCCTGAAAACCACTCACGCAGTCGTCCCCTTTATGACTGTGAGAACGGTCAAGACTCGACTCACACTCACGCTTGACAGGACAGTCTTTTTAACTTTCCTGTAATGCAATACTCCTCTCTTCTCTCCTTCAAATGGCAATTCACCCATCCTTCATTCCCGATAGTAACGTTGTGCACACGATTCCCCTATATGCTCTCGTTCCCCTACTTGTCTTTCACCCCTTGCAATTTTATCCATTCATCCCTCTTTTTAATCTTTAATCGCAACCTCCCTTGGTATATCGTGGTACAACGGCGAAAAGCAAGTAAAACTGGTGAGTTTATGTGATGTGCGCCAGATTGAGAAAAGGGGATGTTAATGTGGCTGAGTAATACCAAATACAATCCCCGTAGACGATTTGCTACTAGCATAAATACCTAAATGCAAATCGGATGGTGATTTATAGATGCAAGTGCAGATATTTAATTGTGCTATTATTATATCATATATTATTAATATACTATAATACCATATATATATTCTTCCCATATCCTATTATTGTATGTCATTATTTATACTTAATCCATCCTCCCCCTCTCTCATACTGCTCCATCAGTCTGGTTTCACCTCGGTCCAAACAAAGGCCTTGCCTCCTCCTCACTTACTATTGTCTGATAGAACTCTTCTCTTTGCTTACCACTTCATCATTCGCCATCCTTCCTTACTCCGTCTCCCATCTACCTATCAATTACTTTTCGCTTCTCCAACACTATATTTTAACCACTCCGGGTAACACTCTCCACCAACCCCACCCCCTACGAATAAAAAAAAGGCGAGAAAAAAAAAGTATTCAAATAATACTCTTAATACCCACACACTATATACGATCATACACTGAGCATGAGAGAATCAAACTTTTCCTTTCCTTCCCAGAACCGAGCTTCAGTATGCATCACGTCTGCCCTTTACGACAGAAGAGCCCTAGATTGCACAGCCATGTTACCTCTAATCAACTCGCTCACTCATCTCACATATTTGACTAGTACATCTCCTCGCATCCGTGAAATACTCACAATGGATGGAGGACTTGAGCGTCTAGTTAGAATACTTAAAACAACAAAAGCTAGCGATAAACGAAGTGGTTGGAAGTGGTCTATGGCGTTTCAATGTGTTGCGAACGTAGGAGTCCGTGGTTCAGAGAAGATAAGGACGAGAGTTGTTGAGGCAGGCATGATACCAGTTATTATTACCGTATTGGACAATTTTTTAAAAGCTTTGGATCATGTTAGGCTGGAGAAAGAACAGCAAGCGGCACAGCAACAACAACAACAGCAGTTGTATACGGCTCAGTTGTTATCATCACAACACGCTGCCTTGCATGAAGCTTTACTGGAAAACGGTAATGTGGTCATGATTACTTCTTTTTTATACCCACCTGTTGTATGCCGATCTGATAGTCATTTCGATTTGGCAAATAGCTTGACTTTTCATAGATGAATGTTTCTTATGCTCGTTAGACTGTCATAGTGATTTATCACGTCTGCTGATTCATTTAATTTTTATCTTTATCACGCGTATATAGTTCCTGCTCCCATACCAAGTAGGATGTTTACAGGATATAACATTCGTCCCTCAGAAGATGCGCGATCAGATGTCGCCTCATGGGGCTCGGTGACTGACACAGAAGAAAACAATCTCCAACCACTTGCTGGAGTAACTAATACAAATACCATTTTGTCTGCCTCAACTAATAGTACTGCTGATTCACAGTTTGATATCAACGTTTTCTATCGTGAAGAAGATATACTCCTCTCTCTGCAACTGTTAGCTTATCTCTCCAAATACCCTCACCTTAGAGAGACATTTCACAATGCCTATCCTCCCCATAATGTTTTCTCCTTGGTCGAAAAGTTTACTCAACGCTTCCACCCACCAGATATACAATACTGGGCGGGTGTCATTATGAGAAACGCTTGCCGGAAAGATGACAATCGGGGTGGAATTCGCCAGTGTGCTTACATGGCATGCGGTAAATGGGAACAATATCCCCGCGAATTTGCTAAATGTCGTAGATGTCGCAAGGCTAAATATTGTTCAAAACCATGTCAGTCGAAAGCATGGAACGAAGGTCATCGATGGTGGTGTATGGAAAGACATGGACATAGTGAGAGCGAGATTTCGAGTCAGCGGAAGCAGCAACAACAACAGCATCATCAGCATCATCACCAACATCACCACCAACAACAACAACAACAACACCAACAGCAGCAGCAGCCACAACAGCAACAGCAACAACTACCACAACAACCACAACAACAACGTCAACAACCGCAGCAGCCGCAGCCGCAGCCGCAGCAACCGTCTATCGCCGTGAGTCCTAATATGCCTAGAACACGTCCAAACGTGCAATTTAGTGAGAATCTCCTTGAAAGGCTTATAACTCGGGATAATACAACTGCTGCCGCGATGTCATCGGAATCGACGCCATCTGCGACAACGATGCAAGATGTAAATGCGTCTACTACTCGGAACGGTGTCTCTGATTCTAATTCGTTTTTTGCCGTGTGAAAAGCAGGCGGTTTCTGACTTTAGGGGTTGAGTGTGATGTTGCTGTTGGGATTGTAATAACTCTATTAATGGACGGAAGGGCTTTGGATTGAATTCTATCGATTCCCCCGCTTGTTAGCGTTATTATAATTATATCTGGTGCTTAGTTGTACTTATACCTAGCAGGGACTCTGGGTAATGAGTTAATTTGTATGCATTTTATGATGGCGATGGTTATTTTTTTTCTTTACGATATACTTATCCT